GGAAGTTTTGTCCATAGAATCAAATAAATCTCGTAGAGCTTAAAAATAAAAAGAAGCAACACTGAATTGTGTAGAAATGCAAGGTAATATGGTAAATGGTAAATGCAGCATATTCCTCAAAAGCACTATCAAAATTACATTTTGCAACAAAAGACTATTTAAGTATATGAATGTACGTACCAGTTTATTCAAAAAATACTGTATAGTTGATTGTATCATGCAAGTGAAATGCGTCTTCCATGCATCTATATTGTTGTATGGAAAAGGTTCATACAGGTTGTCCTCAGGTTACAACGGCAATTAGGACCGGAATTGCCATCGTTAAGTGACATGGTCATAAAGCATGACGCCACATGACTGTGTCACTTAGCAATGGCAATTCTGGCAGTCCTGGTTGCCGTTGTTAAGTGAGGACTATGTGGGTCATTAAGTCAGGACCTCATGTGACTGTGACTTCTGACTTCCTGCTAGCTTCCCCATTGAATTTGCTTATGGGAAGCTGGCAGGAACATCAGAAATCATGATCATGTGACTGCGGGAATGCTGTGATGGCCAGAACTCGAAGTCCCCCTCGTTCAGTGCCTGCCCAACTTTCAATGGTCGCTGAACGAGTGGTAATAACCCAAGGACCACCTGTATATGGAAGCAAAGCATGCCTAATAAGCTAACTGCTACCAAATCCTTCTGAATTAATCAGAAGCTGTTTGGCACATTCTTCAAATTTTGTTTTGTTCTTTTGTAATTTGATCTAATCAGTACTTTAAAAACTTTAAGCATAGGTCCTATTTCTCTGAAAGCTTGAGAAATGTATTACTGACTGCTGGTGAAATAAAGATTTCCAGAATTCAACCAGTTTGCTTCAATGCTGCTTATCTTAGACATTTATTTCATGTGAGTCATTTAATACCAGAGCCACAAGTCTCTACAATAAGCGCAGCTTCACTTGTAAAAAAAAAAAAAAAAAAAAAAAAAAAGTGAGTCATGTTAATATATTTTCAAAATGAGATTCTAGTGGAACAGAATACAATTAATAGGCTAATAACCATGTACTGGAAAACTAATATAGAAAGTCAGTGATCACCAGTCATCTGACTTTCTTCTTATCCAATCTGACATAAGGTCAGAAAAAGATATATGCAAAACAAATGCATGCACACCCTTTTAGCAATTACCTTCATCATCTAATAATAAATTCAGTACGTGCAACTGACTTCTAATTCTTTAAGGCTGTGCTGAATGTACATTGAATTGTATAGTAATGTAGCAAGAATTCAACAACTTGACAAATAAAACAATGGTCCCCTGAACATTTTTGTTACCAACACACTGAAATAATGAACAGATTGGGCAAGATTAACCTAACAAGACAACTAATCAAATATTCTGCATCCATACAAGAGATTCTAGCTAGAGGAATGCCAAATAAGGAGAAAGGTAAGCAGTTGTACAGAGTAGCTAATGAACATACCATCCCAAAATTTTATAGCAGCATATTCAATAGTTGACTGTTTCTTATTTGTTTTTTCTTAAATGAAATTGTAGAAATCATAACATCCTGGCAATAAAGTAAACAAGCAGCACCCATTTTCCAATGTTCAAGTATTTCTGGATTTTAAAAAGCTGCACTTTAAAAAGGAGATTTTGTAACAATAATCAATATTTGGCTATAATTTGAAAGGTAATAACTAAAAATATAAAATACTTAAAATGGTGCTAGAAAAACAGAAACAATATTGTATTCTGTGTTCTGAGCAGGATCCAGGCCATTCTGTCTGGGATAGCTAAATTATATCAGAAAACTCTGCAATGCTCTTGAAATACAAACCTGCAGTAATATACTGAGCAGAGGCCATTTCCCCTGAAGCTCTTAATGCACCAGCATACCTAAAAAATGTTTAAAACATATAGTTAGTTTGGCCTTGGAATCAATACAATACAGAAATAAAGTTAAATGGCTTTTATCTGGATTGAGATTTATTTGTGAGATTTGGAGCACAACCATATAATGGAAAATTGTAAGGAGTGATACAGAGCTAATTCTACAGATTTGGAATTCTTGCACTTTGGAAGCTTTAGATAGCCCAGTTACCATCACAACTGAATGCACACTTTAACTGCACATAAATAGAAAGTGTGCATTCAAATTTGGAGAAAGATATTGTGTTAACTTTGAACCATGCAGAGGTTGTATTAACTTTAGTTGACTTAGAGTTTCACTGAAACATACAACTAACCAGGTGTGTTTAAATTTTTGCGCCCAACTGTAGATCATGCCTTCATACAAGGAAAGGATCGGCACACTTCAACCATTCAATTAACATTCTTTTAATAGTTCAACCTTAATTTAATATCACCAAGTCAAAGAGGGAGTATGTGAGCTGAAACCTGGTTGCAAACTCACTAGGTAGCACTTAACAAGCTTTGCATGCTTCTCACTACTTTGTACACAAATATACACATCAGACTAGTTGTATGAATCAGACCAAAGACCCCTCTGTCTAGTCTAGGATTCTATTCTATTCCTACAGTGGCCAACAAGATGTCATGGAATGCTCATGAGCAGAAGATGACTGCAATAGCAGTATCTCACCTGTATTCCCATCAACTGAAATAGACATATGATGCCTCTTTTAGTAGTGGAAATATAGGACCATCAGCACTAATAGCTACTGACAGCCTTGTCCTCCCTCCATAACCAAATCTAATTGCTTATTAAAGATACTCAAATGGTAGCTATCCTTATATCTTGTCAGAATTCCATATTTGATTTTTTGAAGAAGTGTGTTTTAATCTAATCTCATCTCCTGCCAGTTAATTAGATTGCCCCAATACTAATATTTCAAGGAAAAGCCAAATTCTACTGTTTTGAAAGAGGGAGGAAATTCCTTACTCATTTTCCCCCATCCTATATCTCACTCCACTGACTTCTCCAATATCTCTTCCAGTCAAATAGCTACTAACTCATCTCCCGATGATACAACTCTTAATTTTTCTGTTTTTAAATTTAGCTTTGAACCATTTTTACTGTTGGGTGACATATTCAACTCCTTTTATTGTGTATATTTCAGGATAATTTTTAAGTATATCAAAAGAAACATGAAATGAAGAGCCAGTAGCTTACATCTAAATTCCACTCACAAAAGAGGGCTTCCTTTTCTTTTCCTCTCCACTGCAGCCCACTGCACCTCCTAAAAAGTTGCCCCTAAAGGTCAGGGAATCCTCTGAAGCAACCTAAATGTGTATGGGGAAGCAACATAAGGACAGAAAAGGTAGGAGTTGGGGAGGCCAACTGGGTGAGCAAAAACATGCTCTGTTTGTATAGAAGCACCTTTGGATACAAACCAAGAACTTCAAGGATAATTTATTCCATAAAAGGTTGCTTAACCAAACACTTCATCCATCTAAAATGCTTTAAAGTGATACCACCTCTAAATCTCCCTTTTATATACATAATTAATGATATTCCTACATCTCAAAGATGCTACCATAGTTAACACTATTCCCCTTCTTAATGATTCTACAAAGACTGGAAACAGAAAAAGTAATATTAAGCACGAAGACACTATTTTAAAGATATGCCAAATTATTTTTGCCAGTACTTTATATCTCGCCTTTCCAGTTTACTAGAGTGCAGTGTTTAAAATAGGAGCTAGTATCAATATTACTTGAAACTGATCAACAGTTTGATCACTAATCAAAATAAGACATTAAAACTTTATGAAATAAATAGCGCAGGAACAGAAAGCATTTTTCTAAATAACTGTTTAATATAGAACTCTCAATTCCATTTGCAAAATAAATCCCAACACAAACTGGACTCATATTATAGTTCTACCACTAAATTTGAGTTAATGATATATTTCAATTTTTCATTTGAAACCAAAAATGAAGTTTATTACTTAAATTTATTCTAGCTTTTCTTTCCTATTAAAAATACTACTAGTTACAATTCATACCACTTCATATTAAAAAAAAAAGAAGACTGCATACAATTAACAGCATTTTATTTTATTTGTAGTTATGAAGCCTACCTCTTGAGAGCTTCTTTCAGTTCTGGCACAGAGCGAATACATTGAACTGTAGCATTCATATAACAAGTATTCCCAAGATTTGTTAAGCCACACGGTAACTCCATCTGTCACAGAAATATTTAAAAAATTTGCTTTTATATTAAATATTGTATTTTTATAACGTTCTCTGAACATGACATCTCTTTGCTGATTAAGGTGGTATTTGTGCCAGTTCCCAAAAATGCTGCATTTGGCCACAATGATATCTGTCCTTAGTTGCATCTCATTTGGACTATTATTTTATTTATTTAATTTGGATGCCGCCTGATTCCAACATACCTTGAAGAGTATTCAGAAATATCTGAAAATGCATCTTCTGCAGAATTAATCTGCCTGTTCACTGTAGCTGGCACCTATATTAATCCCTTTTTGAAAAAGGGAAAGACTATTTTATTCTCCCTGAATTTTCGATTTTGTTTTAGGTAGTTTTTCTTCTGTTTAGTAATTTTAAATTGCTATATTTCAAAACAGTCACAGAATTTCAATTACTGGGCAATTTGGAAATAAATAAAATGAAAGCATAGTGATATATATACAAAGATAGATTTTATTTATATATTAAATTTGTATACCTCCCAGTGACTCTGGGCAGTTCACAAAGTAAAAAACAGAGAAAAAATAATAAAACCATATAACAATAAAAACAAAGGGGCAAAAAGATGACAAAACTGGGCAACAATGAAAGCGGACATACATAATTAAGAAGAGGCTTCAACTACCCTAGTCAAAAGCCTGGGCAAAGAGCTTGGTTTTCAAAGGCCTGCAAAACACCAGTAGGGTGAGAGCCACCCAGATTTCAAGGGGAACTGCATTCCAGAGGAGTATGGGGCACTGAGAAGGGGCACTTCCAGATCCCAATAAATAACACTGTTTAATCAAAGGAACCTGGAGCATGCCAACCCCATTGGATTGAATCAACCAGGCAGATACTATGGGAGACAGGTGGCCCCTTAAGTAACTAGGCCTGATGCCATGTTTATAAGCAATGACCAGCACCTTGAATCATACCTGTAAGCAAACTGGCAACCAATGCAGCTTGCAAGGCAGGGGAGTTACACAGGCATACTGAGGCATGATCATCACTACCCTCATTGCTGCATTCAAGACAGTTGAAGCTTTTAGATGGTCTTCAAGGGCAGCCCTACATAGAGTGTGTTGCAGTAATCAAGCCATGAAGTAACCAGGATATGAATGACTATCTGCAGGGCCTTCTTATCTAGAAAAGGGTACAACTGGCACACCAGATGAAGTGCTGCAAAGGCCTTCCTGGTCACAACTGCTATCTGCTCACTGTGCAGGAGCTGTGTATATAGACAATGAGAATACTACCTTTTTTCCCCCCAAAACTGCCACAAGAATTACTTCCTTAGAATTGTTTTACTTGAGTAAAATCATGCTTCCTTTGTCCACAAAAGCCCAGTTTTTGCATAAGTTAAGCCATTTAGGAAAGATCAGAAGAGTTACTAAGACAAATACAAGGGCTTACATTCACCAAATGGCAATGATTTAAACACACAGAGCGACCATCACCCTTCAGGAAATTCACCTCACTTAAAAAAGTAAAGGGAGACACTGTTTGAGGAAAATGTGTTTCAATTTAGGACCCTAGTTTCTGGTTGGAAAAGTAAATATGTTTATAATATATTAATCTTCATTAAATTTGAGGTCATGCATAGCCCAGTGTTCAAAACACTGAGCATAATGAAAAAATAGGCTTACTGCTGAGGCTAACTGTTCTTCTGTCATATCTTCTACAAAAACAGGCCGGGCTACTGGTTCTTCAGGAAGTGCATCAGCAGAGCCCATCATTAATAAGGTCATCCCCTATTGAAAAAGTACAACAAGTTTATCATCAGATTAATGCATTAGTCTTCAAGAAGCTGGTTTTAAAATAAAACTTAGAGCAGTTTCGACTCTTTTTCATGTTGAGTTAAGAGTACTGTGATGCAGACAAGTTTAAATTACTATTTTATTATCTTTTGAAAAACAGTCCAACAGTGCTACCATATACCATTTTGTTCCTTAAGGAAACAAAGCATCTACCATACCCTTAATTTTCCTGAAAAGTTACTCCTCTTTTTTCTAGTAGTTCCCCTACTACAAAAATTAAATAATATCAGCAATCACATTTGTCTTCACATTTTTTTATTTTGACTGTCTCCAAGAAGATGTTGAAGACATGTAACAATATTATAGTATTAAGAGCAGTATTTAACCCTTTATAGCTATAAACTTGGAAGATAAGTTAAAAAATAAGGTACTATCTACCAACTAAATCCTCCTCCTACTGCTCTCCATTCCCAACCACATCGTACTTTGAATCATTCCCAACTGAGGCCACAGAGAGTTGGTAAAACCCTGCTCTATGAGGGTGTTATGCATAGAAAAGATCCAAACCATTATAAATATCTAAAGCAAACACTGAGCAATACTTACACTTTTTATCTTGATGTTACCCCAATCATCATCCTATTTGAAAGAAAGAAAATAAATGTAAACCTTTTCCTAACAATAGTAAGATGATACAACAAATTCAACAGGTATACCAAAAGTCAAAGAGGAAAACATCAAGGGTAGTTAGATTTCACAGCAATGGCCAAAAATTCCTCAGAAAAAGTGTATGTACAAAAAAATTCATTTGATATTATAAATGTTTTGTTCATAAATTTATTCAGAATGCTTTTCTACTGGGATGTGATCAGCTTATGCTGATATGCTTTTTATTGCCCCAATATATTAACTGCATAAAACATACAACAGCAAGTGTGTGATAAAACATTATCCAACTCTACCTTTAAAGTTCCACCTTTCAGCATCACTTTCTGTCTGTCAGGCTGAACTCCAGTCAAAGCAAAAAGCTGTGCTTTGAATACCATTGGAGGCTCATCTGTATTCAGCTCCACTCCATCAAATTTTTCTTTGCCCCACTTTACATTAACTGAAAAACAATGATTTGAAGTATAACACTGAACAACTCTACTAATAAACATTAGTACTGAAAATGCATGCCGTGATATGTAACTAAGTTAATTATGACTCCTGACTGGGCAGCAATGATTAGACATTTAAATTATAAAAGTTAAAGTCATATAAAGTTATATTAAGTACGCTTTTCCTAAAAACTGTAGCTCAGTTTTGGCTATACTCAGACTCGATGTACTGTCAACAGACCAGAATATTCTGCAACTTGAAACAACAATAAGGG